AGGACCTAGGGCAGGGGTGGGCAACCCCTGGCATGCGTGCCAAACACGGCACGCCATTAACTTTTGCTGGCACGCAAAACCCTCTCTTATAATCTTCCATTTACAATTTTTTTCTTAATATCGACTTTTTTATTTTTCAGATAAATCTAGTGTAGGTGCATCTTAGATAAACAAATAATTTTACATAACAAGTTATCTTAAAGACCATACACATGGATTGACGCGAGAGGGGAAGAGCAACTTCTATGCCTCTGCCTTAACTCTCCCTGCCTCCCTAGATCCGACCAGTGTTTTGGTTTCATCCACATACACTTGTGAATCTTTGTTCTCAGTGATGAATTTTGTTAAGTCTCGTAATAGGAGTAGCCTGACGGATGAAAGTAGTAGCTCGTGCATATCTCTGAGGGTCACGAAATATAAACCTGATGTAAAATCTGTCATCAGTGATGCAGCAGCAAAAGTCCCACTGATAATATCAAACGGAGTCATAAAGTTTTCTGTCGGACTATCAGTGTACATGTATACATTAAAAAATAAATGCATTTTTCATCATCATATACTGTGTTTTTGTCGCTCGAATGAATTTTATTATTTCTTCAAGGTTCTTCACATATGTACACCTTAAGAGATATCAAGTAGGCGTAACATGTTCTCAAAAAATTAGCGCTGGCACGCAGAAGAATTTTGAGTCAGAGATTTTGCTGGTTTTGGCATGCACTCACAAAAGGTTGCCCACCCCTGACCTAGGGTGACCACAAAGGATGGTCTGAAATTAAACTTTAACTAAGGGCAGTTATGGTGGGTAGTCAACTCCTAGGCGGGTATGGTCCCTGATAAGGTCAATTTTTACCTTGACTGAGCTTATTGTCTTTTTGCATCTACAATAACATATCATTGAAATGTCAGGGTAACTTGTAATTTTCCTTTTTTCTGGACCCCTCAGGGTACAACCAAATGATCTTGGTGCCAGGACAGAAACCATAAATCCCTTCCTTGTTATTGTTATCATGTTAATTGTTGACTGTTAACTGTCCTGTACCCACCTAAGTAATGTGTCTATCATTTTACTTTTTATCCATCCCAGAGGTTTACATGCTTCGCTTTCTCCCACCTCCCTAATGTACCACCAGTAGATTTCCTATAACCCACCTATGTCTCCTCCTTTGATTGAAAAGTATAAACTTGGGTAAAAAATAAAAATTTAAAAAAAAAAGCCATTCTCTGGAGCATTATCCCAATCTGTTGAGATTCTGCTTCCCAGCAATTTTAGACAGTTTGGCTCAAATAAACTCACAAAAATTCTTTACAGGTTTAAATGTTTTTACATTAACAGTCCCACATTCTACATTTGAGAGGGAAGACTTACCACTCTTCTAAAACCTTGACCACACCCTAAACCCCAGCCAGCCATCTTGAAGATGAACCAGGTCATAAAGATTTAACAAAAGAAAAAAAAAAAAAGGCGAGTCATTTCAATGCAATCTCATCACTACAGTTGAAAACAGTTTAAAATACCTGCCCTACTCACAGCACCAGTTTGGTATATGAAAAACAACACGTGAGCGGGGCGCAGAATGAATATAATGTAAATAATGACCCTTTGGAATGTGGGCTCATGACGAGGATGAACTGAGTCATGGATCTGCTCTGCAGAGCAATGAATTGCCTGCCATGCGCTATACATAGAAAGAGCAGCAGTGAGGTTAACCAACTACTCTACTTTGAAAGCACAAGAGAAGAAATGTACAAGAACTCAAGGTGATCCACGAGAGACCACAAAGCGTCTAAATGTAAAATCTTCAAGAGCTACCAGCCTGGTTACGGCAGCCTCTATTTATCATGGACGATATCCTCATATATTTTCATTTTGTTAAAAAGATGAAACTCTGCCTGGCCTAACTCCCTATTTTAGATGGAAAGATTACTCACTGTCTTGCCTGATTTCACCCTGAGATGAATGTTTGAATTTTTAGTAACGTAAGTGTATTATTTTCTAACTAAATGAATGTCACCTACCCTGTCGGCGACAGAAGTTCCCACCAATAGAGTAACAATGCAAAGACAAAAGCTTTGGAAATATCTCTGTTGACAACTGCTCACCTAATCGCAGAATTAAAGGAAATGGATTTAAGGAGGGGGGAAAAAACACACCTTAAGATTTAAAAAAAAAAAAAAAACAAACCAAAAACTGTTCTAGGTTCTGCTGAGAGTAAAATTACCAGGTATTTAACTACCCCTTTGTGTTCAGGCCAACTAATTTGTTGAACATAATTTTAGATTGATCTTATATTCGTGAATTAAGATGCTCGCATGATTTTAATATTCTGTTGATCTTGATAGATGTTTTTCTATCTCCTCCACGACCATTACATTTGTCCTTATATGGTCACAAAAAAAGTTAGACCTTCCTCAAGGACTGGATAGACAGAGTGAAGAGCCACAGTTCAAATATACAGAATCTCTAACTGGTCTGTATGCTTTATTGGTTTGATAACAATTGCTTGGTGAAAAGTCAAGTATGTAAAAACTTCTAAACCAGGGACAATTTAGAGAATGTCAAGGGGGAAAAAAAAGTAAAGGACCATTAAAAAACACAGATTCTTTGTCTTAAGAGAAACTCCTATTAGAATTAATAGTAAAGAAAAAAGGGAGGAGGACACTTAAAAACTACATAAAACAAAGTGCCCCTAAGGGTAACGCATAGTTCCTGCCTGAATAAAAGAAACTGTTCAATAGTCTCCTAATGTAAGATTCCGCTCCTGATGTAGTTGAGACAACAGAGACGGTAACCCAGAATGGGCAAACAGCCAAGTAGCACAATCAACAAAATTATTTGCTTCCTTTCCGACCTGACCCTTAACCCACCACTTGCGTGCCCCATCCCTAGAGAACTTTTGTCACAAAGTAAATACAGGGTGGAGCAAAAGGTTTACAGTTTTGGGTACAGAAAACACAGTTTATTTCTGTATTGTTATTATTAAATATTGTCTTATTTTCCATATGAGCAACTGTAAGCCTACTCTTGCTCCACACCCTGCACACTGACACTCTGTAGCTAAAACTGAAGCATAGAAGTTTTATAGTACAACCAACGTGATGGATGGCTCCTCTCACAACACTCTAGGGAAGTTCTGTATGAACCAGCGGAAGAAATGAGGTAGAGACTGAAGAGAGGGAGGCCAGCAGGGGTCCTGGGAGGGGTCCAATTTGTGAAAAGGGAGAAGTCAATAGAATCACATGAAAATTCCTTGTACCCTAACTGCCACTGTTTTTATGACAATCGTGTTAAATAACCTAGGATTATTTAAAGTTTAAAGCATCAAGAAAGGAATCTGTAAGACTCCCTTTAGAATCGTAACAGGGGCAGTTTTACAAAGCCATTCGCTTCCAGTTGCTTGTCGTTCCCTGTCTGCTACAGCAAAACCAAGTTTGAAAGGGACAAAAACCAGGGGGAAAAAAGGCTGAATTAAAGAGAAGTGGGCCAGGAGTCATAAGTGGCCTGTTAAATCACTAGAATTTAACTGGAGTTCACTAAGCTATGGAGAATATACATGGGGTTTTTTTTTTAATATCAAATAATCTGTCTGCAGGCCGCCCCCAAACACAAACGTGTGCTTAATCAACTTACACAATGAAGTAGCCATACACACTGGGGTTTTCAAATACTTCCCTTAAGAATGCATACCCACATTCCGACTTCACCCCAAAATTAATTCTCTGAATCTCTGCAGCAGCGAGGCGCGAGCGCACGCGCGCACACATTGAACTTGCTGTGAATCCAGCCCTTGTTGCTTCAATACCCCGAAGAAAAGAAGAAACGCCGCGATAGGCTCTTCTCTTCAGGCCCGAAGAGAAGATTCGAAAAGAAGCAAATGGAGTCAGGGATGAAGGCAGAAGGCGAGGGGTACGGGAGAGTACAACCGGGGACCCTCTCAGGGGGGACTCGCCTCCTCCTTGGAAAATGTCATCTCCGTCCCCTCGCCTCTGGCCCAAGATCACCCCTTTCCAAAGCGCCAAAGAGTTGCCAACTCCTCTCCCCAGGCGTCCCCCAACCTCCTCACCTCATCAGCGCTCAGCTCCTCCATCGCTTTCCTCTTAATGGTGAAAGGCGTTAGGGAGCGATCCTTCTGTGCTGTGAGACCAGGGCGCGAGGCGGGTGGAAGGTGTCGGTCGGGCTGCCGGGTCCCCCGAATGGGGGAGGCTTCAGAATTGCATAGTCAGAGGTGAACAAATAAGAACACACGAGGCACTGGACCGCCTGGGCGCCGGTCACCCCGATCGCCCCGGAGCCTCCTCCAGCGGCTGGAACCCCGCGCAGCCTGCTCGGGCCGCCACTGCTGCGGCCACCGGGTTACCCGGAGGCGCCACGGGTTACCCGGAGGCGCCACGGACTACCCGCTGCCGCCCGGGTGGCCCCTGCCGGGGAGCTCGGTCTCCAGCTCGCCGCGTGCCCCGAGCCCGGCGTGTCTTCGTGGCGGTGGCAGCGTGGCCGCGGGGCCTCCTCCGGATCCTGCTGCCCTTCCCCCCCTTGATCCTCGGTGGGAAACTGGGCGACTGCAGAGTGGACACCCCGAGGGTGGGCGACCCCAGAGCCGCCCCGGCAGAGCCAGCGGTGACGGGGAAGCCCCTCCCCGCCCCGAGCAGGCCGGCCACGCCCCGCCTCCACGCCGGGGCCGGGCCGGGGGAGGAGGCCGGGACGCGCGAGGCTCCGGCTGAAAGAGGAAATCCCCCTACCCCTCCACCCCTGCTCTTACCCCCTCGCCCCACCAAGTATTATTCATCAAAACAACAGGGCGGCCATCTTTGAGAGGGATCACGTGACCCCGCTAGGGAGGCGGGGCTTCTGGCCCCACGACCAGGCAGCCAATGAGGCGCGGGCGTCGCGCCGCCGATTTCCTCTCGCCGGCGCCTGCTCCCGCCCTGCACACCCCTCCCCCGCAGGACCGCGGGCGGGGACGGGGCGGGGGCGGGGGGCGGGCGGGGCGCGGGGCGGCGCGGTGCCATGGCGACGCCGGGGGTGCCGGCGCGGCGCGCTGGGTGCAGGTAGGCTCCCGCGAGGGCCGCGGGCGGGCGGGGGCCGAGGCCACGAGGCGTGGCGTCCACACCGACGCGGGGAAGATGGGCCCGAAAGGGACTCCCGCCCGCGGCCCGGCCTCCCAGCGCCTCCGTTGTTCCCCGGCGCCTGCCTTTCGGCGGCTCGCAGATGCCTCCGGTCCCCACGGTGCCTCCGAAAAGCAGGTAAAGGAAACGGCAGCAGCGCCCTTTGTGGGGCGAGCGCTCTCCACCGCACGGACTGCGCTCGATCAAAAACGCATTTCTGCCCTTCCAGGTCTGCAAGGGAAGCCCATTTGGAGGGGGGCTCGGACACGAAAACTTCCGTTTGTATTACCGTAGAGAGAGTTTCTGGTTTGGGTTCTTGCAAAGTGTCTTCCAAAGTGACGGTAGTATAAATGCGTGATGCAGCGGAACAGGGAAACTAAGAGCCGTCTGCAGCCACCTAGTAAATCCTGTCTTCCCTGAATCAAGGGCACTGCGCTTCTCCCCAGCCAGGGGGTGAATAGCTTAAATCACCCTACTCAGAGGCACAGATAACAGAATCCAACAAGGTGGCATTTGCCAACCACACCCAAGGACAGACACATTAAGAGAGTAAATCTCATTTTGGTACATCAGCTGACCCTCCCCTAAGATCTCCCCCAAACACCCAACCTTTAAAACCCCTGAAAATGAAGGTCCCAGGGCGCTCTCCCTCCAGGCAGCACGCCGGTGCTGTTCCCTCCCCCTCATGCACCCATCCCTAACCTCTAAGGGACCCATAGACGTGCAACCAGGGGAGCAATGGGCAGCGGCAGCTCCTCCCAAGATAAGCCCCCTTTTCTCTGACTTCCCAGTGAGCCAAGGCAGCCCAGCCCAGGCTCTCCTGTTGCTTCTATACCGGTCCTTGTTCATTGTCGTAGGTATGTTGCTGCTGTGGCCAATAAATTGCTTGCTTTTCTACACGTTGTCTCTTCATTGAAATCTTTGCCTCAAGAAGACAAGAACCAAGGTGTCCTAGTTGCCTCGTCTTCCCGGTAACAGGTGATTCCCAGGAAACTTTGAAGTGAATATACATATACAAGGGAGACCTCTGGAGTCAATGCAAAGAAACCATCCTCAGCTAGACAAGAACACAATTTTTTAATTGGGACATAATTGACATAGAACATCATATTAGTTTTAGTATGATTTGATCTATGTATATGTTGTGAAATGATTACCACAATAAATATAGTTAACATCCATCACCACACGTACTTATATATTTTCTTGTGATAAGAGCTTTTAAGAATTATTCTCTTAGCAACTTTCAGATATAAAGCTTTGTTAACTATAGTCCCCATGCTGCACATCACATCCCAGGACGTATCTTACAACTGGAAGTTTGTACATTTAACTTATACAAATCTGAATTGTCAACAGTATCATGTAATTCCTGATTTTGCCACAGATGAAGAATATACTGTATTGGATGGTTACTAAACCACAATCTTAAAGATTGGATTCTAGAATAAAAAGAGGTTCTTTTTTGGTATTTGCTTAAAACAGTAACCTGACAGCTAGATGTGTAAGGAATTAGTGAATGAAATTAGACGGCTGCTGACTTTGCAATTGTCTGCTGTCCGAGAGAGGAATTCTCTGTAAGCCAGAACTTGGACTCCTGGTGACACTGATGTTCATATGGGTAGATGTGGCTACAATTCTTCAGGCTAATGTCTCTTTCCTTCCACCAGACCATTTGTCATAATTCTTGTTGTTCTAGCTTTTGCCCCAATAATACTAAAATTTATAACAGTTTGTCTCCACCAGATTACAAGCCCTACTTGTACTCAGGAAATACCACCCCTAGACACCATCGCAACCTCCTTTTGTGCCCTCTGACAGAGAGCAAGGGCTTTTGGCCGTGAAGAAAAATGTCACCCCCTTTCAGCAGGAAGCAGCTATGGAAGAGGCCCAAGGCGCCTTTTTCTCTGAAAGAATTCAGTGCCAAAATCCTTCAGGAGGAAAATGTTAGACCCCCAGCTTTAAGGGGGTGGGGGTGGGGGGGGAAGGCTGGAATGTTAGGCACATTCTCTCCCTTTCCCCTGTGCTCCATTATACCCTGCCTAAGGCTCTCACCCTCCAGCAGTTTTCCTATTCTTCTTACAGGTTTCCTCAAGACATGATGAAAGGCTTTCAGTTTACAGTAAACCGCCTCACCCAGTTTTCAGTGGGCTGCCTGCACCCAGCCTCCTACCCACCAGTTACTCTGACCTTCGCAGGAGATATATACCAGTATATCCCACTACCCCCGCTCTGGGCTATTCATTTTAGAGCTCAGCCCTTCTGGTTTCCAGATGATCTAATAAATGTATAATTTTTTTTAAGTGTACAATGGTAGCCCTGGCCAGTGTGGCTCAGTTGGTTGAGCATCATCCCACTGGGTTAGATTCCAGGTCAGGGCACGTACCGGGGTTAGGGGCTTGATCCCCAGTAGGGGGTATGCAGTAGGCAGCCAATTGATGTTTCTCCCTCTCCCTTCCTCTCTCTCAAAATCAAACATTTTTAAACAATAAAAAAGTAAAGTGTAGCCCTACCCGGTTTGGCTCAGTGGATAGAGCATCGGCCTGTGGACTGAAGGGTCCTGGGTTCGATTCTGGTCAAGGGCATGTACCCAGGTGATGGGCTTGATCCCCAATAGGGGGCGTGCAGGAGGCAGCTGATCATTGATTCTCTCTCATCATTGATGTTTCTCTCTCTTCCTCTCTGAAATCAATAAAAATATATTAAAAAATAATGCCTCCTACTTGAAGTGGGATTTGATTTCCGTAGGGCTACACAGGCATGCCTCATGTCCGCGGTGTCTGCTGTGCTCAGCAGACGTGGTTGCCAGCGCCAGGAAGGAAACCAGTGCCGCTGACTCAGTCTCTCACGTATTCTTGCATTGATAGTCTATAGTGGGAAGGCATTGTGCTAGCTACAAAGACAGACTGGTGAATCGGGACACAAGGTTATGGCCCTACCCAGAAGGTACTTACAGTCAAGGAGACAGACGAATACATACAGAACTACGATACAGGGTAGAAAGTGCTAAGTGCTGTAACAGAAACTCTTGGGAAGTAGTACTGGAGGGAGCCAGAGGAAAAAGGTGATTGCTCCTGGTTTGGAGGACAGAGCTCTGACTCGCTGAAGCAGAAAGGTATTCTGAAGGAAATATATCAACGGCCTTACCATGATCTCAACTTAAGCCATTATTCCCCCACATTTTTTTAAAAGGACAATGTCTATATTATTTAATATGTTTTTATTGATTTCAGAGAGAGGAAGGGAGAGGGAGTTAGAAACATCAATGGATGACAGAGACTGCCTCCTGCACGCCCCTTACTGGGAATCGAACTGTGATCTCCTGGTTCATGGGTTGAAGCTCAACCACTGAGCCACACCAGCCTGGCTCCCACACATTTTAAAACATGATAATTCATTTTTATGATCTCCTGAAAAGCAGGAACATTTTGGCCCCAGCTTTCATTTTACAGCCAGATAGAGTGACTCCATATCTTTTTGATTAAAAAAGTTTCCATCAATATTATACTTAAAATTTAACATTGCTCTGGCCTATCTGGCTCAGTTGATTGAGTCTTGTACCATGCACCGAAAGGCTGCGGGTTCCATTCCCAGTCAGGACACATGCTCAGGTTGTGGTTTCAGTCCCTGGTTGGGGTGAATGCAGGAGACAACTGATGGATGTTTCTCTCCCTCTCCCTCTTCCTTCTCCTCTCTCTAAAATCAATCAAAAAAATAAAAAACACTCATACTTTTAAAAAGTTAACATTGGAAGAGTTTTTTTTTAATTTTTAAAAGCTAATGAATGTTTTTATTTTAATCAAGAGATTTAATATGTTTTTAGTTAGGTGAATCACTCACCAACTCAATATGTATATTTTCTCAAGTAAAAAGAAAATTATTATCTGGAGGAGACTCCACCTCCTGGCTCTATTTTCATCATAAGTCACTGTCTCCCCCTCTCTTTACTCTTAGAAAAGAATTGATAAATGTGTCCACTAGAAGGGGACCTGGCGGAAAGGAACCACCCTACAGGGCAGTAAATCAGTCACATCAGATTCAATGGGTTTGGGGAGAAAGGCGAGGTACATAGACTCACCAACAAACAAAATACTGATTGTGCCCCTGCCCCCTCCTGCTTCTCTCTTAATATTTCCAGTATCTTCAAATGAGACTTGGCCGACATCACAGCAGACCCGAGAGAGGGAGGAAGAAGTATACTGGATTTAGAAAAGCATTTGGAGTACACAATTTGTTTTGTTTCCTTAGGTCCGTGGTGGGCAAACCGCGGCTCGCGAGTCACATGCGGCTCTTTGGCCCCTTGAGTGTGGCTCTTCCACAAAATGCCGACTCCTGTGCATGGGCCACGAAGTTTCAATTGCACTGTATGTGCACACTCGCGCGTGGTATTTTGTGGAAGAGCCACACTCAAGGGGCCAAAGAGCCGCATGTGGCTCGCGAGCCGCAGTTTGCCGACCACTGCCTTAGGTTATGAGGCTGACGTGAGGGAACGATAAAAAGCATATTCCCGCCTCCCCCAGCTTGCCAGCGGGGTGTGTGCAAGAACCAAGGGAGCCGCAATAGAACTGTTGAAAGGGAGGTAAGTCAACCATGCAAACTGTAAAACACAAGGCACGTTTCTATTTTTATGCAACCACATAAAAATCACCAGCTTCCATCAATGTTATAGCTGTGTATTGAGATATAAAAGTACTTACAAATAAAGCTATTTTACTTCCATTGGTATATGGAGCTCCTGCTTTATTGTATCTCTAGCTGACATACATTTAAAATGAGGTCCCAGAAAGCAGTTGTCGTCTGCATAATTCTGAGAAACAAGTTTCTAAATGATGTCTTAGTGCACGCCTCTGCACCCGGATTTAATCACAGGGATTGTGCCTTTGTTTTCCGAAAAATCGCACCAACAGTAAAATAGCAGAGCAAACAATCAAAGGAGTATTTTTAACTCTTATCCATTTCTCCAGGGTTAGCTTTTTCTCTCTTTCAAAATACCGTTTCATTGTGAAATATAACCCACCTATAGAAAGGTGCAGAAAAGTGGTCATTCAGTAACTGAAACCTGTGTGTTCACCACCTTGGTCAAGGAATCGGGCAATCGCAGACCTTAGTCACCTCGGCTCTGCCCCCCAGACCTTCCTGAGCACAGCCCTGTCCCTTAACCCTGGCGGGGTCACTATCCTGACTTCCATCATTGATCGTTTCCTTGCTTTTCTTCATAATTTTACCATTGATGTGGGCATCCCAAAACAATGTTTATATTTTGCCTACCTTTGAATTGTATGTAAATGCAATGATACTATAGTATTTTTTTGTATCTGCCTTTTTGATTCAACATTACAATTCACCCATGTTATTGTATTTAGCTAAGTAGTCTATTCATATTCATCACTATACAAATGTTCCATTGTTATGAACACACCACAATTTATTCATCTATTTTACTCTTTCTTTCCCCCAGTTTTTTAATCCTCTCAAGGAAAAAACTGCATAGTCACCTTAATCAGGCCATGTCTTGTATTTAAGGTCAGGTCCGTTTTTATTTGAATAATCCAAGAACTCGTACATCATTGAGCCAAAGCCACCCACCACAATGGGTTCTGACTATACATACGAACATGACAACCGGTCTGGTCTTGTACATCTTGGCCAGCTTTTCCAGTATTTCTGTCTTAAGTTCTGCTGCTTCCCAGGGTGAAGGACATGATGACCACTTGCTGAAGTAGTCCTTCGGTCGTGAACTTCCTGGTCCGGCTAGGGGCTGTGCTGCTCATCATGGTGGTCTATTCTTAGGCAGCCAGGGAGGAAAAGAGCCCTTCCATTCTTGATGAATCTACCTTTCCACCAGATTTGGGCAGTTGTAAACAATGCTGGTATGAATATTTTTGTTTCTGTATCTTGGCATCCCTAAGCATATGCATCTCTTTTTTTCTTTTGACTTGAAAATAACATAGTCTGTTTCTTATAATGGAATTATTGCTTTTTTTTTTCCTGGAAATTTTCAATATTTTGCTTGGTTTACTTACATTCGTGTGTTTGAATAGAAAGCTCAAGTTGTCTATTTAATATTTGGACTATATGTTTTGTTTTGTCTGTTTATTATTTTTTTTCCTGGAATATATGTTCTGTTTTTCAATCTAGCGATGCCATCCAGCATCCTTCAATGCACAGGGGAATAGGAACACTT